TATCTAATTTGCATATTAAAGTGCTGTTGGGACAGCATGTTGAAAAAAGAAGTGTAATAATGGGAGTAGTAATTGGCCAGATTTTCATAATAATATCTAATATTTCATAAGAATATTGATATATAATTTGTTTTCCTATTCAATTCTTTTGTCTCCCAAAATGTATAATAAACATGCTTTCAGTCCTGGTGTCCTCTACAGTGGATGTGTATGAAATTATGTCCTGTTTCATAACAGGACGTCATATTTTGATTTGAAACCCCGTAACATTTTCCTGAGATGTTGATTTATGACAAACAATTTTAAAATTAATCAGATTTAAATTATAATTACAAAATATTATCATATTTCCATAAGGATGTACATTTTTATCACTAAATGAATGTCAGCCATTTTTAAAAACCAAGGAGAGGGAGTGGTGATGGTGAAATATCACCAAAAAATTTAAAAAACGCTATTAATGTAGTGCTAAAGTGGTCATTTATGTTACCAGAAGTAAATATATTATAATTACTAATACTCTGTGGTTAAACATGCTTGAAATGTCAATAACACTCGTGTAATGAGAAGACACAGTTTAAGGGTGTCTATAAATATCTTACCAGGTAAAATTCAAAAACATGTTCGTCATATTTCACCTCAAAATTAAAGGAAGAAAATATACAGTATTTGCATAAAAATGCAGTCAGACAAAAGAAACTCATTATCATAAAGTAGGAAAACATGTATATGATTCAAATTGGAACTTGTTCTTTGTACTGATGTTAATTTATGCTGAAAAGCCAATGAAAAGAATGAGAATTTACAACTAAGCAACAGCATTATGAAAATTGGAATTTGGGTGGAATGTTTCATTCTAAAAGTCCTATAATTAGGCGTAATTTTCTTAACACAGAATATAATTTCTTATTTTGTTTCTTTAATTTTGGGGTGAAAAATAATATGGACGTTTTTGTAATATTCAACAATTATCATACAGATGTTGGCACGACAACTGGTCCATTGCTGTTGATTTCAATCTCTAGATTCATGTTTTTATATTTTAGAACCTTTTTTTTTTTTTTTTTTTTTTAAAGTTAACTAACTTTCATCATTGTGCCAAATTGGTCTTTTCAGTCTACAGAACATCTGTTATTCTCACAGTCAACTTCAAAAAGAAATTTTATCCAACAGTATGGCGTCAAAAATGTGTTCAAAATTGATATGCATGTATAAATCGTTCCCAAAAGGACCAGCAATATGAAATAAAAATAAATAAATAAAAGGGGGAAATACTGATTTCAAGCCATCTTTAAACCACAAATGTAATGTTTTATTCCATGTTTTTGTCCAATTTACAAATGAGGAACATCAGTCTTCATACTAATTACATTTATTAATCTGCACACTATTGTTGTCTTGTGTATGTTTTTTTTTTCCAAGTGCCATTCTAACACTGTTACTCGTATAAAAATACTTATTATATATTCTAACGTTTATAAAAACAACTTTATAAAGCAGACAAACAGAAAATTATGTCAGAACATCAACCAAAATGACACTAACCATTTGCCGCCTTCGCTGACCCAGCATGCACCTGGAGAGCCTGACCTCTGTATCCCAGTGTGGCGGAAATGTTAACAATGGAGCCGCCATGATCCTAAGATAAAGAAAAAACAGCCACAAACTATGAGACACTGACAATAAACTACTGCTTAATACAGAGAGACCTCATGTGACAAAAAAAAGCCAAGAACTGAGATATTTAGTTAATAAAAACTCTTGAAATTTATATTTTTACCTTGAACCATTTGTCATAGATGACTTTACTGGTGTTGAAAGTTCCCATGGTGTCAATCTCCATTACGGTCTTGAAAGCGTTAAATGACAATGATGTAGCTGGACACAAGAAATTACCTGCAGCATCTGAAATAAAAATTGTAAACCACAAACATGTCTAACTATTATTTGAGTTGAATTACTGAAATAAATGAACTTTTCCACGACATTCTAATTTATTGAGATGCACCTGTACATGTGCTGGCATAGTGTGTAATCACACATTAGAGAATGATCAAAAGAAACATGATAAGAGGGTGTTAGTTGATCTTTGACATCATTATATCTACAGAATCAAGATCTCTTTGGTAATACACTGCATGTTTTGGAAAATATATGATTTTATTACAGGTTAATGCACTGTGTTTGACCTTCTTAAGCCTTTGACCAACTTAAGCCTTACTGTTAATAAGTATGTCAACACGTCCAAATGTCTTCAAGGCTTCATCCATGGCAGCAGAAATCGTCTCTGGTTGACGCACATCAATGGCAATTGCCAAACACTGTCTGCCTGTAGTGCTGCTTAACTTCTTTGCAGCCTAACACACACAATAAGATGAATGACTCTTCATTAAAGTAATGTCACGAGTGAGTTATTGGAGATTTGTAGAAACAGTACCTCAGAGAGTTTCTCCAGATTTCTGCTGGCAATGACCATGTCACAACCATGCCTGAACAAAAGACAACAACAAAAAAAAGCTTCAAACTATTTTTGTAAACATTGAAATGAATTTGAAGATGCAGGCTTGAGAAGACCACGTTACCAAAGGTTAAAGATCAATGTGTGTGTCACTATAAAAGGCAATTGTGACTGAAAAGTTCAGTCATGGACAAAGTGTTGACAGCGAGAAACTACAGTGGAAAAAAATCACTGCTGCTTAACTTCTTTGCAGCCTAACACACACAATAAGATGAATGACTCTTCATTAAAGTAATGTCACGAGTGAGTTATTGGAGATTTGTAGAAACAGTACCTCAGAGAGTTTCTCCAGATTTCTGCTGGCAATGACCGTGTCACAACCATGCCTGAACAAAAGACAACAACAAAAAAAAGCTTCAAACTATTTTTGTAAACATTGAAATGAATTTGAAGATGCAGGCTTGAGAAGACCACGTTACCAAAGGTTAAAGATCAATGTGTGCGTCACTATAAAAGGCAATTGTGACTGAAAAGTTCAGTCATGGACAAAGTGTTGACAGCGAGAAACTACAGTGGAAAAAAATCATGTTTTTTCTTTTCAGCATCCGCTGTGTCTTCCTCTTCTCCTTGTCCTTCCCAGCGCACAATGGCTTCAGCTTTCTGCAATGTGATGCCTCGCGACGCTCCGCGCAGACCTTTAAGATACGTCAGCAACCCTTTGAAATGATCATCAGTCACCTGAAATAGAGAGAGAAATGCATGCATATGCAGAGAAAAACAGTTGAAATTGAGAATGAAAAAAGAAAAGAGTTTGGCTCTCTGTTTTTTCTTTTCAGCATCCGCTGTGTCTTCCTCTTCTCCTTGTCCTTCCCAGCGCACAATGGCTTCAGCTTTCTGCAATGTGATGCCTCGCGACGCTCCGCGCAGACCTTCAAGATACGTCAGCAACCCTTTGAAATGATCATCAGTCACCTGAAATAGAGAGAGAAATGCATGCATATGCAGAGAAAACAGTTGAAATTGAGAATGAAAAAAGAAAAGAAAAAAAAGAAACCATATGCATGATTTAAAACACAAAATCATTACTACTGTGTATTATTACTGTGATAAGTGTGGAGAGTTGTAGAGATCAATGATGATTGTGAAGTTTCTTGTACCTTTGTGGTGTCATACATGTGCTGCAGTAACCATATTTGCCTGCTTTTGTGAAACTTCCACTCCTCCCGTCTCTCAGACCAGCTAAACAAGCACACAAACATGAAGTAAATCCATTAAAACACTGTTTGACAACCTCTGGTAGAATTGGGAAACACATACATGCATAAAAATAACTATGTCTTGCCACGTGAGGTATTCCAGCGCCTTCTTCTCTGCAAGATTTGACTGGACTTTGTCTTTTTTTATGCTTTTGCCTTCTTCCTTCAGTTTCTTCTTCTCCTCCTTTTTCAGAATCTTCTTCATCTTTCTCTCCAGCACTCGTTTCTCCTCAGGACTCAGATCTTCCTCACCATCTGAGCCGTTTTCATCCTCCGCTCCAGATGGTTTCTGCTGCTGTGAGGTGTTCATATCTCCAGTACTCTAAGACAGAAAATCATACGTTACTTAATATTTGCACCCCCCCAGGATTCAATGAATAAAAAGTTTGAATGAACTTTTTATTAGAAATACAAATCTTTTGCAACATTTTAAATGTCTTTGCTGTCACTTTTGATCAATTTAAGGTGCCCTTCTAAAATAAAAGTACTAATTTCTTGAAAATAAATAAATAAATCTTTCCCTCTGAACACCACACACACAAATACACGCATTCTCCTTCACTATGAAACTCTATATCTTCCATCTGTCTGATTTTCCAGCCAGCAGAGGAGGTAATGGAGCATTTCTCCATCATATTGTTTGGGGTAAACAGAGGCGGCCATTGTATGTGTCTGTTTGGCACAACCTGGCCCTCCTGTATTTACGACTTCAGCAGAAGAGACGTCTGCTTCATTAGTATGGCCGAATGGAGAAAGAAAAGAATATCTACAAATCAAAGACTTCTACATTTATTTCTTAATGACCTTTAAGGACCTAAAAGTGCAAACGAGGAGGACAACGTAATACACACAGATAAACTTGGACAATACAATAAGCAAGGTAAGATCTTTATTTTGAATGCTTCATTGCAAACTATCAGAAAATCCCATTGTGAAATTAAATCTGCGAGATCTGTGGAGTATTTTGAGCTTAAACTTCAGAGACACATTCTGGGGACACCAGAGACTTATATTACATATTGTAAAAAGGGGCATAATATGTCTCCTTTAAGATGACTTGATAAGATGACAGTACTTTATTGTAAAATTACATGAAATGTCCTAGATAGGTCTTGTAGGGTTGGCGTCCTGCAGAGTTTCGCTCCAACCAGCTCCAAAACACCTGCCTGGAAGTTTCTAGTAATCCTGAAGACCTTGATAAGCTGGTTCAGGTGTGTTTAACTAGGGTTGGAGGGAGCTAAACTCTTCAGAGCAGTGGCCCTCCAGGAACTGAATTTGACACCCCAAGGGAACTTAACTACCAGTTAACCAATTAACAGGTTTTTACTGTAGCATTTTTACAGTGTTTCACCAGTAAAATTACAATGACTTTAGAGCAAGCTCTGAGATTCTCACTGAAACACGCGTCTTTCTGTTTTTTAGTACTTCGAAGAGACAACAAAATGCCGAAAACGGCATATTTCCAAGCAATGTGACAACGGAGGTAATAGAGGGGAAGACGATGGAAGATCCGCTGACTTTCCGACCGAATTCCTCCAGCCTGCACTGGTCCGTTAATAACGTCAACGAAACGAGCTCCACCTCCTCGGACGCCTACATCATAAGCCTCCTCCTCTCCTGCATCTACACCATCCTGCTCTTCCCGCTCGGCCTCATGGGTAACATCCTGATCCTGTTGGTGAACTTTGACCCTCGGCAGCGGATGAGCACGCCGGACCTGTACTTTACTAATTTGGCCCTGGCCGACCTAGTGTTGGTTCTGGACTCACTAATTGAAGTGTTCAACCTGAGCGCGCACTATTACGACGATGCGGTCTTGTGCTCATGCATGGCGATTTTCCTACAGGTCAACATGTACAGCAGCGTGTTTTCCCTCACATGGATGAGTTTGGACCGCTGCCTTGCGCTGACCGGCCTAAGAATGCGAGCGCTACCTGAAAACGCCTCCATTTCGCATTGTTCACGTGTTGCACGCAGGGCCTGCGCAACCATATGGGCGGCGGCCATCTTGTGCACTCTGATTCCATTCGCTACTGCGCATGTGCATCACGGATGGGGGCGTGGCTTCTGTTTTGCAGGCGTGGCTGAGGTGCAATGGCTGGAAGTGACGTTGGGATTCGCTTTGCCGTTTTGTGTGATGGGCGTCTGCTACACTTTAATCGCACGTTTGCTTTTGCGCTTTGAACGGCCGCAGCGAACAAAAGCCCTGCACATGATCATCGCAGCCGTGAGTGTGTTTTTTGTATGCTGGCTGCCAGAGAACATCTTCATTAGCGTGCATCTTTTGAATGGTGACACGAATGCCTCACGGCGACGTGGAAACCATACTCTGTGGCAGCGCTACCCGCTCACGGGACACGTTGTGACCTTAGCGGCCTGTGCCAACAGCTGCCTGAACCCACTCGTCTATAGCCTGCTGGGGAACACCTTTAGACGGAAACTGCAGGTGTTTGTCGCACACCACGTGCCGTGCCTGCATACGCAGAACGCAAGAGCAACACCTCCCTGTCCGTGCGTAACATGCACAAATGCGCACCATTCGTGCTTGCACGAGAATAAGGAAGAGGAAGAACGTGACCTTAGAAGCGGCGAGGAGGGTCGAGAGTGTGTGTGAGAGAGTGGGATAAACATGGTCATGTTGTAATGGCACAGGACAAGTTCTTTTGTTTTTTTAAAGAAATTAACACTTTTATTCAGTAAGGATGCATTAAATTTATCAAAAGTGACAGTAAAGATCATTTAAAATTAACTTTCTATTTATCAAGGAATCCTGACAAAAATCATGGATTCTGCAAAGATACTGTTTTCAACATTGATGATAATCAGAAATGTTTCTTGAGCAGCAGCATATTAGAATGATTTCTGAAGATCATGTGACACTGAAGACTAATGAGTAATGATGCTGAAAATACAGCTTTGTATAACAGGAATAAATTATATTTTAATATATATTCAAATAGAAATCAGTTGTTTTAAATTGTGATAATATTTCACAATATTACCGTTTTACTGTAAGGGACGAAAGCTGATTATTTTGACTCACCTCAGCTTTACTTTTCTTTTTCATCATCGCTTTCTTTTTTGCTCTCCCTGTAGCAGCGAGTGTGTTTGTTTCATCGTTCTGTGGCGTCACCAGATCCGATTCAGGAACAGCTGCTTTGGGGTCCTGCAAATTCAAAAAATATTTTAATACTATGAATCCTTTTATTCAGCAAGGATGCATTAGATTGATCAAAACTGACAGTACAGACATTCAGAATGTTGCAAAAGATTTCAATTTCACATAAATGCTGTTCTTTTGAACTTTCAAAAAAAAAAAACTGAAAAATCATGGTTTCCACAAAAATATGAACGGTTTTCAACATTGAAAATAATAAGAAATGTTTCTGATTTGGGAGCAACTGCTTTAGAGTCCTGTAAAGCCAAAATAAGAACTAAAACATACACTTTGTGCACAAGCGGACATAAACACTGTTGTCTGAGCAGATTATGAGTCACTCTTGATTTTATAGAACAATAATGATATACGTGACATAACAGTATATTGTTAGTGATATACTGACTTTTTTTTTTCTTCACCAGGAAGACAAGCTATTCAAAAGTTACATGTTATTGAAACATTATGCATGTGTTGTTATTATAATAAATGTATGTCTGCCAGGCATCACACACCTCATCATTAGCCTTTCTCTTCTTGCCTTTCTTTGGCTTTTTTCTCTCATCTTGTACATGCGTCATTTCATCCAGACTGCGTTTGAGCTCCTGTTTCTTCTACAAGCCCAAGTTTCTTCACTTTCTCAGCAATTCTAGAAGAAAACAGCACAAGTGTTAGTTATTGAAAGCAATTCATGTTTTTATCCAGCATTAAATTAATCAAAAGTGACAGTAAAGACGTTTATAATAATAATAATAATAATGTCACAAACGTTCTCTGTTCGGTTCTACAAAAGAAATGCTCTTTTGAGCATTCTGTTAATTTCCACTGAACATTAATAACAATGAAAAGCAAATCAGCATATTAGATTGATTTCTGAAGGATCACGTGAACATAAGAAACTTCTTTCAAAAATAAATGTAATTTATTTAAACGTATGATATAGCAGCAGAGATGTAGTCATGCACTAGCCAGCACACACACATTAATTAATATTACTAGTTAAGGAGAGTCATCATAATTGCGCCTTTGCGTTTATAGATGTAAGTTATAAAGATGACTTACCTAAAAAAATGTAAAGATGACTTGCAAGTGAAACAAAGATCTTCCAATATTTGCTTCCAACCACGTGTGGACAAACAGCGCCATGGAATAGCGGCCAGGTTTGATGACGTTGCTATGGCTGTGTAAAAGCTGCTCCCTGATTGGTTGGTAATTAGACTTTTGGGACATGTAGTTCTTAAATGTAGTATCACGTAATCTTAGAATAAGATGCTCGCTTCATACGATGACATTTTAACATTTGTAATATAATGTACCACTCTACAATATATATATATATGAAGTGATCAGACAAACTGTTTTCTTTATAAACGTCTAAATATCAAAGCGGAACTATGTTTCAGTTCATTGTAGTTTTCCTTCCGGGCAGAATTTACAGGGGCGCTCGCTATATGACCGAGAGAATCACGCCTGTTTGGAGAAACCCTGAAGATGTCAAAAGTCTGCCTGCATTTATCACGGTTTTCTTTGGGTCACGATGGTTTTACAAGCAGAACACTTGCGAATTTAAGGTAAGTGGATTATTTTTCTTGTATAGATTATTAAATAACCATCATTTACCTAGAATTTATGCAACCAATTTGCTTTGTATGGTACATTAATTAAAACAAGCCTTTAAATAATTGAAACGTATTCAAATTGTTTTTGAACAGAATTCTGACCGATTTTTTTTTTTAAACACTCTTTAATGATCTCTTAAATTCTAAGCTGACCTTGGCTAGAGGGATCTCTGTTAACGACATTTTAATTATTGTTTAGCAAATACAAGCACCACCGAATGTTATAAATAAATGCAATGCTATTTCTGGCATTTTTAAAGTAGTGTTTCATTAAATCTGTATCTGTGTAGACCATGCGCCTCAAGGATGCTGTCCTTCACATCACAGCTTAATGCAAAGTCCAGAAAACCTCCAGATGATAATGAAGCATCCAAACCCATCCAGTTCTCCACCAGCAAAGCCAGCCACCGATCCTGGAAAGTGGACCGTTCGATGGGCAGCAGCTACCAGCGGCCCTGGTGGAAGGTTCTGCCCTTCAGCCTCGTTGGAGTGGGCTTCGTCGTCTGGTGCATTTTCAGGAGAGAGACCGAGATCGACCAGTCTCTGGAGAAAAACCTCCATGAACATTTACCAGGACTGCTGTCCGATGAAGAACAGGAGGGAGTCGGCGTCAAAAACAAACCCTCATAGTGGCTTAAAAGGGACATTTTCAATTTGGAATGTTTATTTATTGTTAGAGGAATTTTTTCTCCCAACTGAGAATGATCAAATTGACTGTCCACATTCTGTGCTCTTGAAAGTGGCTGTATTAAACCGGATCATCTGTAGCGTGATTAATGTTGAAGATTGTAAAGCCAGTAACATTGTAAGCAAGCATAAAGTAGAAACGTCTGAATTGTAATTGTGGTGTGACTGCTAGTTTAAATAATGTAAATAGGGAACCATTATTGAACACACTGAAAGTCACCATTGAAAACATACTTCAGCTGTATTATCAAAGTGGGCATGTAAAGATCACTTGATATGGTTTACGAACCATAGAAAGTGAAATCTAATTACAGTTTTCAAAGCATGACTCGTGTAAACAAGTCAATCTAAAATCAGGTTAAAAATTGTACTGCTCAAAGGGTTTCAGAAAGGTGTGCTTTTCTGTTATTCGTACAGAGACAAATGTGTGTTTAAATTAACTTGCTACTAGCTTCGGTCACTAAAGCAACACAATTGGGACCTAAAATGGATTTAGTAAAAGTTTGTACAAGTCAAATGAAAAACACAGCACCTTAAACACCGCTAAAGCCAAAATAATGAACTGCAAACAACACTGAGGTAGTGGAAAGTTTATTTACAACCAAATGGCCACAATAGAAGAGAAACCCAATATAATAAAAGGACACATTCTAATTCATCATGAAGCATGCAGACTAGGCAGAGGTATATGAAAGTCTAAAATACAAACTTTAAAACCCTGAGGAGCTCCCGGAATGTTCTGACGCTGCCCCCCTACTATCAACTTGAACCACACAATACCCCTCCCCTACCGCAACTACCAAAAAAATTAACTACACAGGCATTTATTGTCAAGAGTTTAAGAACCCTGATGTCCCTCCCACCGTCGTCTGGTGCATGTTCAGGAGAGAGAGCGAGATAGACGGGTCTCTGGAGAAAAACCTCTATGAACATTTACCAGGACTGCTGGCCGATGAAGAGCAGCAGGACGTCGGCATCAAAAACAAACCCTCATAGTGGCTTAAAAGGGACATTTTCGATTTGAAATGTTTATTTATGGTTTAGAAGTAAAAGGTTTTCTCCAAGCTGAGAATCATCAAATCGACCGTCCACATTCTGTGCTCTTGAGAGTGTCTGTAGCTGGGTTTAAATCGAAGATTGTAAAGTCAGCGGGATTGTATTGAAAGCATAATGGAGACACTTTGGAATTGTAATTTTGGGGGTGACTGCTAGTTTATAAATGTCATCAGGGAACCATTATTGGACACTGAAAGTCAACATTGAGAATATACTTTAAATAAACTAATTTTAGCATTACATAATCAAAGGGGGCAATGTAAATTATTTCCTTGATATGGTTTACAAACCATAGACGGTGAAACTTACATTTTTCATTACATTATGAAAGTCAAACTAAAAATGGGTGAAATACTTTGCACTGCTCTTATTAAAAACATGACACGAGATGTGAAAATTAAAGGGTTGCAAAAAGGTTTGCTTTTCCTGAGATTTTTTTTATCAACATGCCACTAGCTTTGGTTATTATTAGGACCTAGAACGCATTTAATCAAACTTGTGTATATATAATCATGTTAGCAAGTCTTTTGTGTTGGAAAGACAAGTTACAGCTTAAAGTTAAAACAGTGGCATCTTAAACCCTACTGAAGACAAAATGAACGGCAAGAAACATTGAGGTAGTGGAAAGTTTATTTACAACCAAATGGCCACAATAGAAGAGAAACCCAATATTATAATAATGATAGAACTAAAATGGACATTCTAACTCATGGAGCATGCAGACTAGGCAGAGGCATATGAAAGTCTAAAATACAAACTTTAAAACCCTGAGGAGCTCCCGGAATGTTCTGACGCTGCCCCCCTACTATCAACTTGAACCACACAATACCCCTCCCCTACCGCAACTACCAAAAAAATTAACTACACAGGCATTTATTGTCAAGAGTTTAAGAACCCTGATGTCCCTCCCACCCGACCCTCCCGCACGTCAAACCCCGCCCCCATATATTCCTCCACAAAAAAACAAACAAAAAAAAAGTTAGAGTAAATCGTAAAGAGAGTCTAAGCGCGCTCTCCACGGATTCGACGGGCCAACTGGATGTCTTTGGGCATGATGGTGACACGTTTGGCGTGGATGGCGCACAAGTTGGTGTCCTCAAACAGACCCACCAGGTATGCTTCGCTTGCCTCCTACAAACCAGAGCGAGAAAACGTTAGGAGGGACCAAACAAAAAGAAAGTGAGGTAGATCTATACACAACCCAGAACTAGAAAACACACCTGCAAAGCGCCGATGGCAGCACTCTGGAAGCGCAAGTCGGTCTTGAAATCCTGAGCGATCTCACGAACCAGGCGCTGGAACGGAAGCTTGCGGATCAGCAACTCTGTGGACTTCTGGTACCGACGGATCTCACGAAGAGCCACAGTTCCAGGACTGAGGGGGAAAACGAGCACAAAACAATAAATTGATTCGCTGTTATTAGGATAATGCATGAAATGCACTGAGGTGAAAGCAAAGTACATTGTTTATTTAACAATGTATACACATTATCATGCATATACTGAATACATAACGGTTACATTGTGTCCATACACAATATAAATACAGTAAATACGCAATATATACACATGTATATAAAATTCAGTAAATACACAAAGCGCATATATATATATATATATATATATATATATATATATATATATATATAACACAGTGCATCTACTGAATATATGTAGAGTACACGTACGTAAAATATTTCTATATTCTACATACACATTTCTTAAATATATTTATATACACATTGTATTTTGTGTGTAATATATATAACACAATTTAATACATTAATTCATTTCATATACATTATATCACATATATGCTGAATATAAATATATTGCGTTTATATAGCATATGTATAGTTTAAGTTTAACACCATGCCAGCTTCTGTGGCCATTTGCATTGCAAGAATTTATAATAAATTTCAGGGTTGTTTTTTTTTTAATGTATTTTAGCTAAATTCTTAACACTGCATCTGGCTCAACTGTTAAAAATCTCTTCAAAAGTGTTAACTGAAAGTTTTCTAGCATATTTATAGATATTCAGCTTATACACCAATTAGTGTGTGTGTGTGTGTGTATATATATATATATATATATATATACACATACACGCGCGCATGTACTGTAAATATTTACAATTTCATGCATTTAATTTTAAACATTACATAACAGCATATAAAACAATATATTGTATACATACAATCTATAAAACCATTTACATATAGTGTGTATGAACATTCAGTACGTACACGATAATATATAAAACCTCCAGTGTATACAGGTAATAATGCCAAACAATTATCCATCCATCTACTACTACTACTACTACACGTGCTCAGTGTTTCTCACCGGTATCTGTGGGGCTTCTTGACTCCACCGGTGGAGGGCGCACTCTTCCTGGCCGCCTTGGTGGCCAGCTGCTTCCTGGGGGCTTTACCACCGGTGGACTTACGGGCGGTCTGTTTAGTACGTGCCATGGCACTCTAATGAAGCGGCCTAAAGAGACACAAACCTGATCAGAACAACAGCCGCGGGGAATTCCGCGCGCCATGACGTCAACCACAACAAAACTCCCGCCCAATAATACAGTCATGCAGAAACAGTTCATGTTTAGGAAAAGGACATAGTGTGTATGAACATTCAGTACGTACACGATAATATATAAAACCTCCAGTGTATACAGGTAATAATGCCAAACAATTATCCATCCATCTACTACTACTACTACTACACGTGCTCAGTGTTTCTCACCGGTATCTGTGGGGCTTCTTGACTCCACCGGTGGAGGGCGCACTCTTCCTGGCCGCCTTGGTGGCCAGCTGCTTCCTGGGGGCTTTACCACCGGTGGACTTACGGGCGGTCTGTTTAGTACGTGCCATGGCACTCTAATGAAGCGGCCTAAAGAGACACAAACCTGATCAGAACAGCCGCGGGGAATTCCGCGCCCCATTACGTCAACCACAACAAAACTCCCGCCCAATAATACAGTCATGCAGAAACAGTTCATGTTTAGGAAAAGGACACCTGGCAACAATATCCTAAAGCAGCACTTTACAACATGGGGGCGCCATTGAGGAGATTAAAGCTAAATGGATACTTAAAAAGGTAAACGAGATGGGAAAACAATTCTATAAACGCTGCATTTTTATTAGTTATAGTATATGCAAAGTCGCATATGTATAGAAGCAAGTAGAAACGCGTGTTGCTGTGGAGCATCAACAACCTGAACAACTCACAGTGGGACACACACACATAACGGAGTCCCATTCAACACACACACACACACACTCTGAAGACAAATCTTCAACGGCAGCGACTTTCATTCAACCATTCAGCAACTAGTACTACATATACGCCACGTTCCCTTTAATTACGGCGAAAACGATGAGAAACCACCGGTAAATCGAGCTGTGGAAGCTCTGATTAATGCAGTAGTGAGGTCCACCATCTCAGGACGAGACACAGACACGTTTCTGCCTTTATGTGTAACATGGCGCCCAAGAACACCAATTACAGCCGTTTCTTTGTCTACACCGACAACTCGGTGACTGTCGACTGAAAGCGGCTAAATAGAAAACGACGCGTATCGTGAGACCAACTTACGTATTAAAAACAGAAATGTAAAGGTAAAAATAGTGAACGAACTTCTGAGATAAAGCAGAAGTAAATATGAGCTCGCCCTCGTTAGCTTAGCTTCAATTATCCATCCATCTACTACTACTACTACTACACGTGCTCAGTGTTTCTCACCGGTATCTGTGGGGCTTCTTGACTCCACCGGTGGAGGGCGCACTCTTCCTGGCCGCCTTGGTGGCCAGCTGCTTCCTGGGGGCTTTACCACCGGTGGACTTACGGGCGGTCTGTTTAGTACGTGCCATGGCACTCTAATGAAGCGGCCTAAAGAGACACAAACCTGATCAGAACAGCCGCGGGGAATTCCGCGCCCCATTACGTCAACCACAACAAAACTCCCGCCCAATAATACAGTCATGCAGAAACAGTTCATGTTTAGGAAAAGGACACCTGGCAACAATATCCTAAAGCAGCACTTTACAACATGGGGGCGCCATTGAGGAGATTAAAGCTAAATGGATACTTAAAAAGGTAAACGAGATGGGAAAACAATTCTATAAACGCTGCATTTTTATTAGTTATAGTATATGCAAAGTCGCATATGTATAGAAGCAAGTAGAAACGCGTGTTGCTGTGGAGCATCAACAACCTGAACAACTCACAGTGGGACACACACACATAACGGAGTCCCATTCAACACACACACACACACACTCTGAAGACAAATCTTCAACGGCAGCGACTTTCATTCAACCATTCAGCAACTAGTACTACATATACGCCACGTTCCCTTTAATTACGGCGAAAGCGATGAGAAACCACCGGTAAATCGAGCTGTGGAAGCTCGGAGTAATGCAGTAGTGAGGTCCACCATCTCAGGACGAGACACAGACACGTTTCTGCCTTTATGTGTAACATGGCGCCCAAGAACACCAATTACAGCCGTTTCTTTGTCTACACCGACAACTCGGTGACTGTCGACTGAAAGCGGCTAAATAGAAAACGACGCGTATCGTGAGACCAACTTACGTATTAAAAACAGAAATGTAAAGGTAAAAATAGTGAACGAACTTCTGAGATAAAGCAGAAGTAAATATGAGCTCGCCCTCGTTAGCTTAGCTTGTTGCTACCGCGACAAAAATCATCTAAAACCGCCGTATATGAATCTAAACACAACATGCAGACTAAAGAGATTTTTCATGTTACAGAAAGTCTTAAAACACGATACTCAAGACTAAACACACCATAAAATAGTTTCTGTCGGTTTAAGACCGACCGTTAACGACACTTACGATTTCTTGTTTCGAATAATCCGTCAAACCCAAAACAAGGGACGTCGGTCTCGGACTGAACGAGCTGCCCTGTATTTATACAGTCAGTGACGTCGTGCGCAGGTTAAGCCACGCCCACGCCGACTCTCATTGGCTGGAGCAGCGAGGGGCAGATTTACTCTTCTTTAGTATTTATTTATAATAGTTTTAGCGCGGTTTTGATGTAATTGTAAACGGCTTTTCGGTCTGTTTCTGCAGATCGAAACTGTTTTTAAATTTCAAATGGCGTTATATGAACGTTTAATTAACAATGTTCGTGAAACATCTATGCTTTCAAAATCCTTCCATTTCTAGCCCTGAACCACTTTGGTGTGGATTACATAACCATGTAAATACAACCGTCCCATACGGTTCCTTTTAATAATAGCGAATACAAAACATTATTGGTAATTTATTACGAGAATCGTTGCTTCGCAAACAATGACGAAAAAATACATTGCTTTTGAGATCCAGTATGTTTTAGTGCGGCTAAAATTGCCTAAAAAGGAGGGTACATTTTATTGTGCTGCAGTAGGAACCTTTAGAATGGTACATGTGTTGCCGGCGGAGCTCCTTGTATGGTGCACACATATGGGATTTTCATACATGCATAGCTAAATACTCTAAATATATTTGAAAATCCAACGCTTCGAGCAGAAGTAGTTAATTGATTCTATCACATTTATAGTTTTCCTTAAGCGCTGCACACTCGATAGGTGATCGTTAATGTTTTGGTTTTTTTCATAGGAAAGAACAGAGCGATTTATTTGTGTTATCAGAAGATTCAAGCCTCAGCTATGGCAGAGGAATCAACTGGAACAGGTAAGATTTCACTACAAACCATATTAGATGAATATATTGAATCTACGTGTTATTTTGCAGACTTTTATATTGAATTGCACTGTATGACTTATTAGCATGCAATATAAGGGGCTGATAAATGCTCTGAAAAAGCTCTAAATGTGTTCATGCTTTCCAGAAACAACCAGAATACTGGAAAACGAGAAAAACACGGATGGCCAGAGCGGCGAGGACCCCAAAACAACAGCCCAAAAAGCTGACACTCCTACCAATGCTAAAAAACACAAGAAGAAGAAAAGGAAAACAGGTGATGGAAAAGATAATCAACAGAAAGGGGTAAAAAGCAACGAGGAAACACCCAAACAAGAGACCACAGAACTGGTAAGCACATACACATTTGCATATATATATATATATATACTGTTGTGTTTATATAAATATATAAGCTGGGTGTGTGTGTGTGTGTGTGCGTGTGTGTGTGTGTGTGAGAGTGAGTGTGTGTGTGTGTGTGTGCGTGTGTGTGTGTGTGTGAGAGAGAGAGAGAGTGTGTGTGTGTGTGAGTGTGTGAGTGAGTGAGTGAGTGTGTGTGACTGAGTGTGAGTGGGTGACACCTGCCTATAGCCTTAGTAATCCTGAAGACATTGATTAGCTTGTTCAGGTGTGTTTGATTAGGGTTGGAGCTGAACTATGCAGGACTGCGGCTCTCTAGGACTGAACTTGCCTACCCCTGGTGTAGGGTAATAGAATATACGGTCTGTACAGTAGAAAAACCATTACGCCTATGGAGAGTCCCCACAAGGATAGCTGACCAGTGTGTGTGTGCGCGTGTGTGTGTGTGTGTGTGTGTGTTAGACTCCTGATGAGCAGCTGAGTCGAGAGTTGGATTGGTGCATCGAACAGCTCGAGCTCGGCCTGAGAACGCAAAAAACCTCCAGCAAACAACGTGAGTGAGACAACACAACAAATATAACATCTATATATATTACACAAACTCAGGTCAGAAGAAAGTTGTTTTGTTGTTGTTATTGTTTGTTTTTGTGTTATGTTTGCTAATTTTTGTGTAATAGGACCCCCTTGAAAACGAGATGCTGCATCTCAAGGGGTTTATCCCAAATAATACATATAAGTAAGTTGAAAAGAAACCCTCACCTTCTGTTTTGTTTACACACGTCTCCATTTAGGGGAAGAAGCGAGCCGCGCTCTGAAGACGTTACACAGCTCCAAAGCTCCCCTGGTGAAGAAGAGGCAGGTAATGCGAGCGGTCTCTGGAGACTACAGGAAGAAGATAGAAGAGGAAAGAGCCAGACAGTTCAAACTCATACAGTCAGGTAAGGCAGTGGCAAAAATGTACATTCATGTCTAAAAAAATGTTTTTTAGTTAAAGGGAAGCTATAATATTTGTTAACTAATTAGTTTCTATTATTACATTATTGATACTTAATTTAAAAACTATTTATATATATTAAAATAAATGTATTATACATTTATTTTAAATCAAATGTTTATTTATATTTAATAATTAAAACATTTTTTTTTAGAATTAATCCTAATATGTGTATTTATTTATTTAGGTAATTAGGGGGGGGGGGGGGGGTGTTTCCCAAAAAACGTTCCCACAGAGCCCATTAAAAAAATTTAAATAAATAAAAAACTGCCTTACAATATTCTGACAAAAATTGCTTACACAATTCTTACAAAATTGTTGTCTCTTTCCACAGCAGTGACCTCCGCCCGGGTCACCAGTGTCTCTGAGAGCAAACCAGTGTTTCACCGGCGAGCACACCCCACAAACAAAACAGACAAATCTCAAGAGACGCACGCACTGCAAGGACCCCAGGAGACAAATGAACACACAAAGACTGATGGAGACACAAAACCTTTTGTTTTCACTAAAACACATGAAGAGTTTTGCTTTAACTTCAGCTTATGATTCGACACTGTAACATCAACCAACAGGATTGGTGCCTTAAGTAGATGCAGAGTCAGATATTTTCTATTGCATAATTTTGCGATATGTTCTCTATGCATTTTATTAAGCATGCATTATTGCTAGATTTCGCTTTGTTGTAATGTTCAAAATGTTCATAGAATACACTAGAGTAAAAAATCCAAATAAATTAATTATGGCCAAAACTCAAAACGTTGCTGTTTCAATTTTTATTATATTATTTATTTTAAATTTTATTTTACTGGGTTTTATTTTTATTTTTTTAATTGTCTAATACTGATGATGAAAATATAAATAAATATTTTGTATTGTAGCCTGTAACTGATTTATTGTAGGAGTTGCTATGGCAACGTATTTAAAAGGCTTATATTAGAAATATCAACTTATTTCTTTAACAATTCAAGGGCATTATTTCACCTCAAATCAATGCTCTCAGTCTTTATTTTTAGATATTTTATTATGTGTATCATTCTTTTGCAGTTTATCAACAAACGTGTTGCTGTTTGATGTCGTCAGGCATGTAAGCTATAAGTGCTGACGCAGAGGCTAATGGGATATGCAGTCTTATATTGTGCACTGGCCGTTTAAACTGTATTATGAGAAGCAGGCAAAAGACTACAACTCCCTACAACACATTTAACAACACGCCCCGGCTGGAACACGAAACTTCCTTTGAGTTGCCGCTGCTGTTGCGATTTCTGAACAAAACATTGATTTACCAGTTTGGAAAGGTGTAATAATTTCAAGGTTTGTACGCTTTTATTTGTCGGGTGCTTTATTAGGTTGCTGAGTAATGCGTTTATGGCATGAACGGTTGTTGTAAAAGGCTGTCATTTCCATGTTAAGAGTTTGGTTATAACTTTTGTAACTATAACTTTTCAGCATCATAACTATGTTATAAACATATGAATAAGAGTATGAGATAACATTTATCCGAGTTGAACTGACTGACGGATAATAGTCCTGATACCAGATAACGAAAAACAATTTCACTGAATAAACTGGTTATTTTGAGAGGGATAAAATAAATGATTTTATTTTGATATACATAAGCTATTTTAGCTCATGTTATTGCACAGAACTGTAAATATTAAATATCCAACCTCATTTCCAGAGGAAGATGTCTGAGCTGAGCGACGAGGCGAGCAGTGAGTCGGAGCAGTTAGGCGCGAGTCTGTCCGTGTGGCTGGCGGGCGGAGGAGACGCTCTGATCGGCCCGGAGGAGCTGAACGTGCCGCTGGATCTTCACACCGCCTGCTCCATCGGACAGTATGATGTGGTGGCCGAGTGCATCCGCAGGTCAGATGGAAGAATCTGCTGTTCATTCTGTGCATGTTTCCATCTAACCGCCTTTGACATGTTTTAGTTCAGTGTGCATGAACGTTTAAAGAAAATATGCCTAAACTAGAGACTATTTATAGATAGATGGATAGACAGACAGACAGATGGATTAATGGATGGATAAGTATATATATATATAGAGAGAGAGAGAGAGAGAGAGAGAGATAGACAGACAGACAGATAGATGAATGGATATATATATATATATACATACAGTATAGAGAGAGAGAGATAGATAGCAGAATGGATAGATAGACAGACAGTCAGACAGACAGATGAAAGATAGATAGATATATATAGAGAGAGAGAGATGAATGGATAAATTGATGATAGATAAATGGATGGATAGATAGATAGACAGACAGACAGATGAATGGATAAATTATTTATATATATATATATATATATATATATATATATACATACAGTATAGAGAGAGAGACAGCAGAATGGATAGATAGACAGATGATAGATAGAGAGAGAGATGAATGGATGGATAGATAGACAGACAGACAGACAGATGGATAAATATATATATATATAGAGAGAGAGAGAGAGAGAGA